TCTTGCTCCATTAGTCTTAACAAATTATTTCTAAACTAGTTTTTGGTTGAATTTGCTACAGTACCTCAACAAAATAATTTATTATTTTTTTGAGATAGGTTAATCTATTTTTTATTATATTTTCTCACTCACCGAACGTCCTCCCGGATGTCCCTGCAGAGAAAGAAGTTTTGCTGAATTTTGGCCTGATCAGTCGATCGGACGCTCGATCGCCGCCTCTCAGTGGGTTTACCTCCTCCTGCTGCTACTATGGTGCACTGGAAAAAATATATTTAAATTGAAAAAGATAAAAGAATAAAAAATAATGTTTTAATGAAATAGAATTTTAGAATAGAGTTTGATGGAGTGTGTACAAAAAAAAAGGTTAGCTAAAATACAAAAATAGATTTTGAGTTATAATTTAGCTCAAAAATTGTTGAAACTGATGCGGATGCTCTAATAACCCTTATATAAATGTACCATATGATATAAATATTATGCAAATTTCAACAACAAAAAAAAGGAAACATGCATGCCTACTATAAACATAATTATATACATATCATTTAAATCAATAGTAAAAAAGCCATTAAATTGTAATAAAATTTTGAAAGAGAATTTTAATTCCTAGCATTCTGTATAAGTGGAATTACACGTGTTAATAGATTTTTCATAAAATAAAATTATACAATAGGACTTTTCACTAATTTCCCTAATTGGCATTTTACTTGTATTAAAATAGGGTTTTTTTTTTTTTTTTTTTTTTTTCATTCCCCTAAATCTAGTTTGTATTATAAGAAGAAGAAAAAAACAACAGGAGGATTTATCTGTGACTAAGAAAAACTTTGTAAAATTTTCAAATGCAGAAGGTTGTCACAACATTATTCGAAAAATTAATCAAAATCAAATTGGTTTGTTTTGGTAGTCCATATGTGCATAGATCAAATTGATTTAATAATATTAGCTATATGATTTTCTCATGTTTATCTTTTAAAATTAAATTAGTCTTATTTCAAAATTATACTGATTGTTATTTTTTTAAACATTTAAATTGTTTTGTTACAATTATTAAATTAATCTAATTGCACTACTAGAAAAGTGGTTTTTTGCGACGGATTATTTTACTGTCGCAAAAAATAATATTTGCAACCGCAAGTTCATAATTTTTTCTTTCACTATTTATTTTGCATTTTTCTTATTCCTATGCCCTAACCCTTTTCACTGTGACTTTCCCGACAATTCACAAATAGGGATCTCTGTCACTTTCGCTTGCTATGGTCACGCTCTCTCTCTCTCTCTCTCTCTCTCTCTCTCTCTCAGATTGTGATGAGAAGCAACAGTCAACAATGCCGGAGCTACTAGGGTTTGATGATCTGAAACCAGTAGAGATCATCCACATTCAGACCTCGAGATGCTAGCCTCGATTTTGCCATCTTCACCGTCGAATCCAACTTCAACCTTTTCTCCACAGCTCACTTTTGAGATTAAACAAGGAAACGGTGTTATGAACTCTCTCGACCTCTCAATCTCGTTCTCTATCTCTCTTTGTCTCTCTCAATCTTGCTTTCTCTCTCTGCTTCTCAATCTCCTGCTCTCTCTTTATGGTTCTTTTGAAATCTATATTTTTCATCATTGTCACTCAGATTGCCCCTTGGATTGTCCAAAATGATCTCTCTAGGGCAACACAAAATCAACATTTTTAGGTATTTCTTTCGATTATCTCTGGCATGTTTTTTTTTCCTCTCTCTATTTATTCTTTGTATTTTGCAACAATTTATGCATATATATTTATTGAAATTGAAATTATTAATTTTCTGTGCATAATGGAGTTTGATCCGTTGGTGATTTAAGTACGATTCTGTGTTTTTTACGTTAATGTGTTACAAATACTACTCATATACTTTAATTTAATTTTGTTCAATTTTAATGAAATAAGAATTTCTTAGCCTACTTGAGATTGTTTTGGTAGATGCTTGGTTCACATTTTTTTTTTTTGGCTGGGAATTTGGAGCAACATTGTTTGGATTTTTTTTTATTTTAATTTAATTTTGTTTACTTGTTTGTTGCTTTTATGTTATACTTCCAATTTTATTATGTCTCTCTTTTCTTTTACATTTTTGTTCTTTTTGTTTATAATAATAAAGTTCAATTGTGTTTCTGTTTGGTGGTGATGAGATAAGTTGAAGCTCTTTTGTTTGGATTGCAATTAATTTTGAAATTCCATAGCAGAGAGGATGTAATTGAGGTTCCAATTGTGTTCATGAATAACATGTCAATATGTCATGAATTTTGCAGGAAACATTTTTGTGTGTTGTTTTTTTCTTAGTATCTACCAGTTTAGTTGGAATTTTTGGGAAAATTATTATTCCCTTGGCAATAAATTGAGCCTTAATGTACTTAACTAAAAAATAAATATATATTGAGCCTTTGGGTATTTTTGAATGAGGCAATCAAATTGATACAATATGCTCTCATTATATTTGAAAATGTTAATTTAATATGGGCGGCTCAAGTTCCATTTGGCATCAGGCACTTTCGTTATATCATGTCATTAGTTTCTACTGAGTTCCCTTTCATTGCTATTTAATTGTTGTGCTAATGCTTGCTTGATTGTGGAGACATTTTAATCTGAGTGAAGTACTTCCTAGGGAAATGTTTTCTTAGAAAATTATTGAATAGTGGGTTCTATTGGTTATGGTTTAGTGGAGTGATGTCAATCTATAGTGGTTTAATGGCTGATAAATGTTTATGAACTTCTTTTGTAATATGGAAAGGTGACTTTTCAAATGTTTGATCTTTATTCAATGGAAATTTGCTATTGCTGCAAGTCTATTGGCAACTATGCTCTCATCTTTGTCTTTCTCCCACTCATTTCCATTATGGTTTGATGATAGAGGTATGTTCTTTTGCTATGTTACTTGGGTTATGTGTGAAATAAATTTTGAACCTACATAAATTTGGTTAATTTATATGATAAATCAATAAATGGTGGTTTGATTCACTGGTAATTGACAGGGTTCTGAATTAGCATTGCAAGATATCCGATCTACTAGTGGATTTTTTAAACATCAAAAAGAAGAATCTCTTCTCTTTTTTTTTTTGGGCGTTAAGTTTTGTTCTATTTCTTATATGATTACTTAAATTTTTATTATGATGCTATCTAATTCATGCATATATATTTAGTTGTGTGTGTGTGTGTGTGTGTGTGTGTATAGAGGTTCATGCTAGTATGTTTGTCTTGAATACTGCTGTATTTGCTATGAATATTATTGTACAATTTTGTCTATATGATTCCTTCTCCCTATCAAGGTCAAGATACACCTCTTCCATTGTCATACATGTTTGACTTGGTATATCCTCTCTTAATGATTTTTTTTTTCAGCCACCAGTGCATATGGACTTGCAAAACATAGAGTGGTCGGTGGGAATGGACAATTGCTCCTAGGGTCTCACCATCTCCTAGATATCAACATGCAGCGACAAGTTTTTCTTTTAAACTCCCAACCAAAAAAAAAAAAAAAAAAAAAGAAAAAGACCCCGCTGTTAGTTGACATTGCCCCCCCTCCTGTTCGGTATCTAGAAACCAGTCATTGAGATGTGCTATGCTCCTGTAGGTTTTTGTAAATGCGAGGCTCCATGTGTCTGGTGGTGCACTTGGTGGTGGACGCATGGTGGGGGACTCATCAAGTGTTGCCAGGTATTTTCCTTTATTTTCTTTTTCCCTGTAATCCAGCAAATGTGTTGAAATTGTTGGTGTACAAAATCTACGCTTGAGTCCTTTTTTCAGATTTGTCATGTTCCTGTGTGTAGTTCTAGATACTACGGCAGGAGTCTGGTGTGATACAAAGTCTGTTGTTACTTTCTCCAGACTTATTCATCTACAGATTTTGTTGGGTTCAGGTTTAATATTAAGATTTAATAATAGTAGTATAATATAATATTTGAATTGTTATTCGTTCATGGTTTGGTATATGTTTTTGCAGATTTTGTTGAGGGAATAGATGATACGATCGAGCGGGTGATGTTGGGAACCAAAGATTATGTTGCTCTTTTCTATTTCTTTTTTTGAAGACTTGAATTTTTTTGTACAATGTATTTAATGATGGTTAATGGATAATGTCTAATATAAATTTAATTAATTTGTTAATTTTGTTATTTTTCATTAATAAAAAATTGTTTGGTGCTTGTAATTGATTTTTTTGTTGTAGCAAATCCATATATGATTTTTTTTTAATAAATAATTATTTGCGACAGTAAAACAATGGTCGCTAAAAGTGATTTTAATTTTTTAATTTTTTTTGCGACGGCAAAATAGTTGTCGCAAAAAGTAGTTTAGGCAGTCGCAAATAATTTGCAACCGTTGCTTTGCCGTCGCAAAAAGTATTTGCCACCCCTACATTTGCGTCCCCCATTTGCGGTCACATAGGCCGTTGCAAAAAATCTTTTGCGACTGTATTTTTATTATTTGCGACGGCTTGTGACGGTCGCAAAAAAGTATTTGTTTTAGTAGTATTGTTTGCCTGCCAAGGGGGAGAATCCATTTTCTATTTACAATATGCTTAAAATGGTTTATTAATGATAAATAAAATTAGGATGATGACAGTATGAATGAAAATGTCCTGAAATTGGAGCACGCGGGGCCTAAACTTCGGCCCCGGCGTAGGTGCAGAGGGGTTCCTTGCAGATGTGCTATAGGTGCTAAGGGGCAATATTTTCTGGCGGATATGTTGGAGTAGTCTATTTGCATATCCATTTTTTGAATAAATAAAAAAAAAGAAAATGTCTTGAAATTTATTTCATTGCAATTATTTTATTTTCATTTTTTTTGTTGCAAATCTCCTTTTTAGCTTCCAATTTTTTTTGTCACCAAAAAAAAAAAAGCTTCACAATAATTACAGTAAGGTGTTGAAAGAAAAAGCAAACAATTAAAGAGAACAAAGCACAGAGCTAAAATTGCACTTATTTTAACTCAAAATCATGACATAGGAACGTACCTCCCCATCTTAGTTTTATTTTTGTGCTAATCATTTGTAAGCTTATTTATAAATGTATGCTAGTAATATATATAAATAGCATGCATACAATTATTAAGTATACCAATCTCTAATAAGGACGTTGTCCAATATAGTTGCCTGGGGGATCATAGCTGCAGATCACAAACCACCAACCGTTATTGGTACACTGAACCCTAGCGCACCCAAGGCGGACCGAGTTTCTCCATACCACCTGGGTATAATGCCTGCATTCTTCTCCCCCAACACATGAGTTGGAGTCGTAGTCATAGAAAGGCTTCTCGTCTACCCAAAGGTTCACTCCGTCAGTGCCTGTAAATGAACCACTGCCCTCAGCAAGCATTTCCCCATAAGGCCCACCGGAGTGGACGAGATTGCAATCACCCATCCTCGAATTGGCATACCTTTGTGCATAGGCGGCAACGTTGTTGTCCCATGTCATAGGTCCAACACCCACTTGGGCACGAGCTACATTGTGGGCATTGAGGTAGTCTTGTGGTGAGTCTAAGCTCATGAGACATACCAAAGCTAATGAAAACTCCATCTTTGCTTTTGGTTCCATAATACAAAGATTTCACAAGTAATTGATGCGAAATGAGGCTTGATTGAGGGGATATTTATAGGAAAATTCCATGGAAAATTGAACTTTGCCTTCAACTTTGGATAATTTTTGAAAACTTCAGAGGAAATTATAAAAAAATAAAAACAAAAATAAAAATAATTCAGAGTTTAATCCTTGTAACAAAATAAATTATGAGTTTTTAATTTTTTTCAATTAAACCATGAACTATTTATTTGTTTTTAATATGAACTATTTGCCTATTTTCGTTAAGAAAAATTAATGGAAAAAATAATATTTTAGTTATTAAATTGAGTTTAACGACTAAAATATTATTTTTTATCAATTTTAATTAACAAAAATAGGTAAATGATTTATATTAAAAATAAATCAAAATATTAGATTTTAAATTGACAAATTAAAAAATTCAGGATGTATCATGTCTGGACTCAATCTTTTATTATTATTTTTTTATTGACTATTCTGCGATTCATTTTAATCTTCTAATATTATTGATCTTTTTGCCTTCATAACACGTTTAATTGGATATGAGAGAATCCAAATATAAGACATCCAAAATATAAATTACATATAAATATTATTGAACTTTTTACATTTAAAATTGAATATGCAACGCAGTGCACGGTAAAACAAACTTTAATTATTCAGGAGAATTACTTTTCAGTTGTACATTTACAAAAATATTATAAATACATAAAAAAATTATTATTAATATTTATAAAATTTATTATTAATTTATAACTTGCTTTCAAAATTTGGACTGATTTTTTATTTTTTTGAATTATTTCCGCTGTAATACGAAAGGACCGGCATTAACGGTCACAAATTTTGAAGACTGTTTGACCGCTAAAATCAATGGAGGCACATGCTCCCTTGACGGTACTGTTTGGAGACGTGTGATACCCGTCACCAATTTTATTTTAATGATTAAATTTATTTATTTTGTAATTTTTTGTGTATAAAAAATTTCTTTTAATAAGACTAAACTATCCTTTTTATATTTTCTTTCATTTCTCTTAATTTTTTTTTTTTTTTTTTTTTTTTTTTTTTCCCCCCCCCCCCCCTTTTTCTTTTATTATTAGACCTATATATATTAAACTATTTTAAAAATTAGATTAATTAAATTTTTTTATACATCTTTAAAAGGATACCATATTTTTATATGTAACTTTTTTTTACCATATGTAATTTTTATATTATTTATGTACGGTTTTTACCTCTATTTTTTTTTGTGCTCTTTTTTTTTTAATCATAATATTTTGTAATTAATATCATAACATGTAATATTTATCAACCAAATGGTTCATAAAATAAAAATTAATTAACATTTTTTAATTTTTTATAATAATGGGATTCAAAATATTTCATAACAAATAAGACTAATTAACCCCGTTGTTATAAAAGGTAAAAATGTTATAAATAAAACCAAAATACCGTTTTAATCTATTTTTAAAATGCATTTAAACTTTTTTATTGTCCTTTTAATTGAATAAAAGGAATCTGTACATTTTTTTAAAAAGAACCACACAATAAGAAATATTACAACACTTTGTGGGGTTAGTTACATAATTTTGTGGTCAAAGTTACAAACAATCAAAATGCACCACGAAAGTGAAAGTTGCGAATCATAATGGTTACATTATGAATAGTGTGATGAAAATGTTACGAAAAATTAGTAATTAAAAATATTATGAACCATTTTGCTGATAATATTAAATGTTATGGTATTTATTACTAAATATTATGATATAAAAAAGAGCAATATATATATATATATATATATAGGTAAAAAAATTACATATATAATATAAAAATTACATATGGTAAAAAAAAGTTACATACAAAATTACATATGGCATCCTTTTAAAGATGTATAAAAAAAAAATTAAATTAAATTAATCTAATTTTTGAAATAGTTGATTATGTATAGGTCTCATAATTTAACACAAAAAAAAAAAAGAGGTCACGTGTACATAAAAAAAAGGAAAAATTAGTCTAATGTATCTTTCTCATTTTTAGTAATGTGAGAGATTCATAATATTATTTTATGATATCTAAAGTCCCTCAACCCCACACTCATATATCACAGAGAAATTTGACAGACCAATATTTCTCCTCTGTTAGCATCACCGTTGACACTACTTCTTCTTCCTTATCTCCGATTATTCCTCTTCATAACTTCACGACACTGAAACTGCGTATATCTACATTGGAGGTGCGTAGATCGATGGTTTTCAGAAACGGAGGCGGTGTGTCACCAGTAACAACGACGACGCAAGAAATCTCAGATCTCTTTCTCTCTCTCTATCTCTCTTTTCTTCTAGGCAGCGATCTTAGGTCTTCAAGACGCTAAAGCTACATATATGTACGCCAATGGTGCGTAGATCGGAGGTTTTGGGAGACAAAAGGGGTGTGTCACCAGTGTCAATGAGGGTGCAACAAATCTCAGATATGAGATTGTGGAAGATTGACGGCGATAGAGGGAAATCCAAACAAGAACATAAAGCTTTTTAGGATCTGTTGTCTTAGGCTTACTTGGAAGATAAGGCGCAAGAAATTCTCTGCCGCCAAATTCATAGTGAATCTCTCTCTCTCTTTCTCTTTCTCTATCTCTCTCTCTCTATGTCTCTCTCTCTATGTCTCTCTCTCTATATATATAATGTTAGGTTTAGTATGTGATTGGGTGATGTTGAATAGGAAAGACGAAGACTTGTCATGAATCCACTTCAAATTAGGATAATGGACCTTCTGGTTATTTGTTTTGTTTTGCAGTCTTTTGGGATAAAAGTCGGATATGGTGGCATTCTAGGGCCATCGGGAGGTAGAAATGTCAATGCTTCTCAAGGAGAGGGCTGTTACAGTTGAAAATAAAACTTTCTCGGAATTAAAATTTTCTCTAGATTGAAATTTTCTCTGGTTGTTCAATTTTCTCTAGATTGAAATTTTCTTTGGGTGTTCAATTTTCTCTAGATTGAAATTTTCTCTGGATTGATGTTGAGGGACCTTAGACATTATGAAAATATTGGGTGTTCTTTATGCTATAAAATCTTAATACTAGGGACCTTAAAAAAAATCTCCTAAAAATAACTAGGGTAAATTAAGAGTAAAATGAAAGAAAATATTTTGTCTTATTAAAACAAATTATTCATAACAAAATTAATAATTATAAATTGATTTGATAATCGTAGTCATACAATTTTATCTGTACCAAAAAGGAAACTCTTATAATCTATACTATTATTACAAGCCAACAGCTACTTTGGAGTCTTGAAGCGATGCTCTCATAATTTTTTTAATAATTTTCCTAAAACAACCTTAACTTCTTCAATAATTATACTATTTTTAAACTGATATTAATTTATAATTAAGGATAAAATCATAAATTACTAACTCACAAAATATAACTTCCCACGTTAAAGAACTCCCACCTTTCACAAACATTTCACCATCATGGACTTCTTTCTATAAGGTGACTTCCATCTTCTTTGTTTTCATACGCACGTTTCTACGTATCAATCATATATATTATTATATATTCTAAATTAATGATTTGTGGTGGGAGTTCGTACCCAAGGGAATGAGATTATGCAAGGTTTAGGCTGATTGTAGATAAATGTGGAGCGATTTTGATGTGCGACATGGTTCACATCATTTGTGTTTTGATGCAATTGTTTGCTTGAAGTGTTCTTTAAATCTCTTTTTATCATGTATGTATGGATTATTATAGATCATATTGTAGATTGAAAATTCACAATTTTGTTTATTTTTTAATTAGCAAAAAAAGAAACTTTATTGATGATAATCGACATGAATACATATGACCATACATCAATAAAGGAAGAGACAAGAGCAAAAGAAAAAATGTGCACCTACCTAATCCCAACTAGGTTGGCACCAAGTAAGATACACAAACAAAACCAAGCACAGACAAGTTGGTGAGAAACCAACACAGAAAAGAGACAGAAGAAAATAACAACCATCAAAAAGAAAATAAAATAAAATAAAAAAACAGCAGCCTCACTTCAAGCCTTCCCTTGTAACATGTCACGCCCCAAACCCGCCCCTAGAAGTTTGGGCATGACCACTTGTAGACACCCCATTTTTGACCGACCTTAAGACTCAGACATCACCGATTGAGCGCTCGGTGACGTTGCATAATGTGCTCGTTCAGAAGTTTCAGAGTCTCGGCTGCGAGCCCTGCCTCCGGACTTCCGAACCCTCTTCTCTGCCTTGCCTCGGTTTGCGAACCAGACTCGGTTTTCTCTATTTCTTTTCCTGAGGGGAGGGAGAGGTCCCGTGGACCATCTCTCAGTGGCCGTGGGCTACGTTTTATGGTCATAGGCCATTTTGCCCATTTCGGAGCCCGGTTTTCGATTTTCGGAGCCGTCAGGCCGTGTGCCTCGGTTCGAGACCGCCTAACCATCTCCGTTTGTTCTGGTTTTTGGCATACTTCCTTTCTACTTCCTTTTGAGGGACACTGGGGTCTGAGAAACCCACTTCGTGGCCGAATGCCACTTTCGGTGCTTAACAGCCCATTTTCGGGACCCCGAACTGTGCGTTTTGGCCCCGAACATTCGTTTTGCATCGGTTTTCGTTCATTTTTGGTAGGTACCTCTGTTTTATCACCAGGAAGGCCGTAGAAGGGTGGGAGGCCAGCAATTGTTGCAGCAACCAAGTTATACGCCCTCCGGCGCCCTCCGACGCCCGTTTTTCGCGCTTCCGAGCCAATGTTGAACACCTTGGGGCCACTTTCTTGAACTTTGAACCACATATTTGTGATGTACACACATGGGAGGACCCTAAAATTTCATGGCCGGCCACTATTTTTGATCAATCGGCCACTTCTCCTAACCGAGACCTTTTCTTGAGGGAGCTTGACCCTTTTGGACCTTTTTTTTAGCTTCTCCAAGAAGCTTGACCTTTTTTAGCTTCTCCAAGAAGCTTGACCTCTTTTAGCTTCTCCAAGAAGCTTGACCCCTTTTTCAGCTTCTCCAAGAAGCTTGCCCTTT